ACAAATTATGGAGCAACAGATGAGTTACTTATATTAGATATTGCAAATGAAGCAGAATATAAATGGGTAACCACGATAGATAAACCTGTACCTAATTCTAATTCGACTAATTCGACTAATCCGATCGTCCCAAATCCCAAGCCAGGTCGTGTTAAAGTTGTTCTTTTAATTGGTATTGGTTTAGTTAGTCTCGGATTAATTTCTGGTGGTATATTCTACTTTTGGTATATAAATAAACGTAGGAATAATCAAAATGGTGGTAATAATGATAATGTTCAAAATCATGACCGAGTTTTAGAAATTCCTAGTGATGCTATGACTAGAAAATAAAAATTAAATTATTGAATTATTTTAATTATTTATTTTGGACTTCTCTAATAAAGACTTTTGAATAATAATAGGATCGTAATTTTGTAAAAAACTAAAATTTTTTTCCTTTACAATTTTTTTTTTTTTTTTTTTTTTTTTTTTTTTTTTTTTGAAAACTTCAATATTCAAACATCATCGAAAAAATTCTTTATGAATACAAATCACAATATGCTTGCACTTAGCCAGATATATAGCTGTTCTCCCGGATACCACGTATAGTGTTATCAGAAAATCATATCAATGATCAAATTCAAGAATACCATTGATTTCCAAACACCCGCTTTGACGATTTCTTCATAACTGTACCGGACCGGCTAATTGGCTATAGGAAAACCCTTTTTGTGTCTTTCTTTCCGAGTACAAAAGAAAAGAATATGTGACTTCGGAATAAATGCAGTTTTATTTTGTTGTCATATATTATCATACCTTGTATTTTCGTTGTATTCATTACATTCTGTATAGAAAAAAAAAGAATAAAAAGTATAAATCTTGTAAATAAATGTCCGTGCGGCGTTGAAAGAAAATTTGATGTAATCACATGATATTTCGATCAAGTCTCTCCGGACACGTTTAATACACAAAAGGCAACAACCAATCTTTCTGGAAATAAGTGCGACGATTTCGTATGGTAAAATCATTTGTTAATGAACATTTGCAGATTAAAAATCATCCAAGAAAAAAAAAATATTGAATATGTTTTCTAAACGCTGAAATAATTGAAGCTTTATTACCAGGTAAGATTATCATTATTATAGCCCTTCATTTTTCTTCCATAATACTGAGAATTTAATTGACTGTGAATTGCATTAAATATGTAATACTTGGTTTAGAACTCAAAGTTCTTCAGAATTAACGAATCAAAAACTGTGATTATTCTAAAGTGGTAGAAAAATTTAAACATTAGTAACTCGTTCTTGATTATAGATTACCACGCCTTGAAGTTGTTAGCTGACCGATTTTATCAAACAAAGCAAGATGATTTCTTGACAGATCACACAGACTAGATCAGTTATTTTTTAAGGAAATACAGTCGATTCTGGATATAACGAACTTGCCGTTCCAGAAGATTTGGTTCTGTATAAATAGTTCGCTATATGATAATTATGTTTTATACCGAACTGTCAGTATATAAATTGACCAATAAAAAAAAAGACACGTGATCACTTCGTAACAATAAAATTTATCAATTTATTATATTAAAAGTCGGTATTGTTATGCAAGACTAACATTACGAAAATGTTTAGGAGTTTTTAAAACAAAATTTCCGTGTTTTATATGTGTGATAGGTTTTTCAAATTTGAAAAACTATTTTTTTTTTTTTTTGCCTACCTAACCTATCACACTCAAAATAAGAATATCCTCGTTTTTACATAATTTATATAGTGTTACATAATCTCATTTAAATCACGTGATCATAGTGACCCAGATGACACATGACCGGTCATTTGAGTCATTTGAGGTCATTTGGGTCACTTGCCATCACTGCGTGATCGTTCGGTTTATCAAATATATGGCTTTATATACATATTCGGATAAGATTAGTTCGGATGCGGTATACATATAACGTTTTAATATATGAATTCGTTATATCCGGCCTGATTATTTATAAAATAATCGGTTTTGTAATACATGTTTCAGTATAACGAATTTTCGGTATAAACAAGTTCGTTATATCCAGAGCCGACTGTATTAAGTAGACTAGGGAAATATAAGTTCACGTGATTATGATTTGGAGAAATCTCATTGTCTCCGGACTATAAGGTTCCAAGAAAATTTTAAGAGCTTAATGCGTTTTAATCAATCCCGGAACCTGATTTTCCTAGCAATCAACCTATGTCTGAAAAAGATGATAAGAATTGACATTCATAGCAAAGAAATTTTGTGTGTATTAATTAAACAAAGACGTCCTAATATCTTGCAGAAATCTTTTTTAGCTGAATTGAGAAAATTCTATCCAAGTTTCTTTTTAAAAAAATAAAATTTGTGAAAATGTAAATAGAGATTATCTTTATAAAAGCTTTGGAGAAATAAATAATCTCAATAATCGATGAAAAGTAATTTCACGTGGATAGTTTTAAATACGTTAAAATAGTTAATGTTAATCGATAATTCAATAATTTATAGTAACTTCACGGATTACTTCACAGTTCACGGAAAGCAATGCATTGATGGTATTTGACAAGTTGTCCTGCGATAGCTTCGAGTTGATTAGAAATTCTCGTAAGCATGTCAGGTTAGTTGGGTTGATTAATATTTTCTTTTGGGGCACGATAGTTGTTCTCAGCATTGGCGTCGATATTTTGCCGGGATTACCAGTGAAGCCCCTGATTATTATAAAATAATTTTTTATTTTAAATACATTATTTATTGGATAAATCTAATTGTAACAACTGTTACATTTGTGGTCATTTTGTTAAAAAATTTTTACGGGTAACAAATTATTAGAAGAGCCAATAAAATAGCCTTTTTTTTTTGTTTGTAATGTAAATACCAAATACATAGTTTATTACATGTAACGGTTGTTACAATTAATTAAATTATAATTGAAGATCGTCCGTACTAAATATATGCGCAGTCATATTTTGAATCCTGTGTTAATTATTAATTTCCTTTATTATCATTATAATAAAATAAATAATAATGCTGTATTCGTTTTGCAATTAATTAAAAGATGTTCAGGGCTCTTCTTTTTTGTTTCTTTCGTTTTTTTTTTAAAAAAAAAAATAAAAAATAAAAAAAAAAAAAATGATGGACCTAAAACATTTAACATTTATTTTCTTATTGTTATCGTCGATATTTGCACAACGACAATATATACCGACACCTCGTCATTCTCATACAGCAGTAATTATAGGAAATAAAATATATTTCAAAGGTGGTGTAAACCAGGGATTTGACGGTCTGGGATTTGAAGATTTTTTTTATTT